CAGCAGCTGACTGAAGAAAAGCCTCTAGCTTCAGTGGGCCAGGAGCAGGAGACGGAGCTGAAGCCCAAGGTTGAGGGGCTTTCACACAACCTGACACTTTGAACTCAGAGCCTGACACTTTGAACTCAGACTTCTATCTTCCCGAACTGTAAGAGAATAAATTCCTGTTTGTTCAAGTCATCCCATTTGTGGTATATTCCTGTCAGAGTGGCACTCGGTAACCAGAACAGGGAATTTTACATCTTATCTCTAACTTTGGAGCTCTTCTACAAAAATACTCATTTTACAAATGAGAAGGCTGAAGTTTCAGGAATCTTAATTACTTGTTTTTGAAAACTACAATTACTAGAACTGTAGCTAAAATAGGAGTTCTAGTAGCATAGTGCCTAAGGCACTTGACTGCTAACCTAAAGGCTGGCGGTTCAAACCCACCAGCCACTCTTCGGAAGGAAGGTTGGGCAATTGATTTCCGTAGTGATACTGCCTCGGAAACCCAAGGAGGGGTTGCTCTGAGTTGGAGATGACTCGATGGCACATAACAACAACAACAACATAGCTAAAATAGGAATATATGTGTCCCAAGTGAGACCTGGGAATCTTTCTTATTAAAAGTTTGCGTGATTTTCACTCTAAAGACCTGTGAAATTTATTTTGACTACTTAGAGGCAGTTTTATACTTTTTCATCTTTGATGGTATGCAGGCCATTGGAATCGCAAAGTAGTTAAGTTTTGGCTGGGTGAAGTATTCTTTGTCTAAATGTATATCTGAACATATACGTATAGCATGCACACACATAACAACATATATACAAACTCATACCTTTTTAAGTTTTAATAGCATAACCTGTTGCCAGGGAGTTGATCCCTACTCATGTGTGTTAGGCTGGGTTCTCTAGAGAAGCAAAACCAGTAAAGCTTATATATACATATAAAACAGAGCTTCCATATATACATATAGAGAAAGAGAAATTTATCTTAGGAAAACGGCTCACACACTTATAGAAGTTGGCAAGTCCCAAGTTCTTCTATCAAACATCAAGCTGGAGGCTTTTCCTGACTCGTGCAGCTGCAGGGACTGATGAACTCAAAGTTGGCAGGAAGTAGACCAGCTGTTGACTCTAACAAATGACGAATCCAAGATCTTCAGGCCGAATGATGGATTGTTTGCTCATGAACAGTTGTAGGCAGCACAACAGGATCCTGATCCACAGAAGAGTGTCTCTTTTCCCAGGATGTCCATAAATATATTGGAAGCAGGCCACACCCCTAAGGAAACTCCCTTTCAATGGATTGGCTGCTCAAAACATGTAAATCTGATCACATCATGGAAATAACCCACATCACAATTGCTTAAGCCACACAGAATTGTGGTCCAGCCAAGCTGACACACAACTCCAACTCTCACCGTCCACCCCTTGTCAACTTGGCAATCCATATATAAACTCTAAATAAGGACAATTATAAAGTCATATTTGTACCTAACATGATACGCTAACACGTGTACAACCAACACACATTAAGCTTGTTTACATTTCACAGTTCATAACAGAAGGAAACAAAAATATTTGATGCACATATACAATGAAGAAATATAACAATCACAGTCCTTATTTCTGCAACTGGTCATGTGGCTGTAGGTGATATTCAGAACTACCTTCTTCTACCACCTATTCTGTATTTCCCTTGTCCTCAGCAAGCATCTCAGCTTGTCGTGGTTCTTTGCCTGGTGGGGTGTCCCAAACCTTCATTCCTGAAGGGTCTGGGCCATTAGTAGTCATACCAGAATTGGATTGCTGTAATTTTCCATTGACCTTAATCACAGGGCATAGTAGTACTAAGAGACGTCCTAAAGAATCTCCTGTATTCCAGGCATATTCTTCTTTACCTCCATTATGTAATGTCAATCCAATTTCCCTTAGGTAATCAGGATCTATCACACCAGATAGTACAGTAACACCCTTGTTTGTCTGTTGATCCAGAGGCACGAAGAAGCAAAAATGGCCAGATGGCATTCTTAACTTCCAGTTCAGTGCAATCAGTACTGTGTCTCCAGGTGGGAGTGCTCTTCCCTTTGGGACTAAGATCTCTAGGTCTGCAGAGCATAGGGTAGCAGGGACAGGAAGTAAAAATTTTTTGAGTGAGTCACTAGGGGTAATAGTGAGTGGTACCACTACCGTTTCCGCCCCTTGGTTCCTGGACTCATGAATTCTGGCTATTAGAGAAAGAACACTGTATATTGAATGCTGGTTCAGAGGATATACAACCTCCTGGAGAACATTGCCCCAACCCTTCAAGGTGTTGCCACCTAGCTGGTGCCATAATTATGTTTTTAGTAGGCCATTCCATTGTTCTATCAAGCCAGCTGCTTCAGGATGATGGGGAACATGGTAAAACCAATTAATTCCATTAACATTGGCCCATTGCCACACTTCATTTTCTGTGAAGTGAGTCCCTGATCTGAAGCAATGCTGTGTGGGATACCATGACGGTAGATAAGGCATTCTGTAAGTCCATGGATGGTAGTTTTGGGAGAAGCATTGCGTGCAGGGAAGGTGAATGTATATCCAGAATAAATATCTATTCCAGTAAGAACAAAACACTGTCCTTTCCATGATGGAAGTGGTCCAACGTAATCAACCTGACACCAGGTTGCTGGCTGATCACCCCGAGGAATGGTTCCATATCGCAGACTCTAAATGTTGGTCTCTGCTGCTGGCAGATTGGGCACTTAGCAGTGGTGGTAGCCAAATCAGTGCTGAGCCCATGCATAACCTCCATCTCTGCCACCATGGCCACTTTGTTCATGAGCCCATTGAGCAATGACAGGAGTAGCTGGGGATAAGGGTGGCTGGTTTCCACTGAATGTGTCATCTTATCCACCTTATTGTTAAAGTCCTCCTCTGCCGAGGTCACCTTTTGGTGGGCATTCACATGAGACACAAATATCTTTACTCCTTTGGCCCATTCAGAGAGATCTATCTGCATACCTCTTCCCCATACATCCTTGTCACCAATTTTCCAATCAGGTTCTTTCCAAGTTCCAGACCATCTGCCCAAGCCATTGGCTACAGCCCACGAATCCATAAACAATTGTACATCTGGCCATTTCTTGTTCCATGCAAAATGAACAGCCAGATGCACGGCTTGAAGTTCTGCCCATTGGGAGGATTTCCCTTCACCACTCTCCTTTAAGGAAGGCCCAGAAAAGGGCTGCTGTGCTGCTGCTGTCCACTTTCAAGTGGTGCCTGCATATCACGCAGAAACATCTGTAAACCAGGCACAAGTTTTCTCTTCCTCAGTCAGCTGATCATAAGAAACTCTCCATGAGGCCCTAGGTACAGACTGGGAGAGGGAAGGTAATATGACGAGTGGAGACCATCGGCATTTGGGCCACTTCCTCATGCAACTTACTTGTGCCTTCAGGTCCTGCTTGAGCCTGATCTCTGATATACCACTTCCATTTAACAATGGATTGCTGCTGTGTGCGTCCAACTTTATGACTCTGTGGGTCAGACAACAGTTCATGATGGGAAGCTCAGGCCTCATGGTGACTTGGTGGCCTATGTATTTTTGAAATTGTTGTTACTGGACTTACTGTACTGGTTAGTATGGGCTGGAGAGGTGAAATTAATTAGAGGGCTGGCCTTTAATTTATTTCTTTAATGAGTAGCTTAAATTTTCTCTAACAAAATTGTTTCATATATGACACATTATAGGATATGCTAATCACAATAGCAACATGAAAAATTATAGCCATGATATCTATCTCAATTTGTAGTGTAGTGCCTAAGGCACTTGACTGCTAACCAGAAGGCTGGTGCTTCAAACTCACCAGCCACTCCTTGGGAGAAAGCTTGGGCAATCTACTTCCATAGTTATACTGCCTCAGAAACCCAAGGAGGGGTTGCTATGAGTTGGGTCTGACTCGATGGCAAATAACAACAACAACATACTGTATCACGGGAGCTCTGGTGGTATAGTGGCTAAGGCCCTTGACTGCTAACCAGAAGGCTTGCAGTTCAAACCTTCCAGTCACTCCTCAGAAGGAAGATTGGGCAATCTACTTCTGTAGTGATACTGCCTCGGAAACCCAAGGAGGGGTCCCTATGAGTCGGAAATGACTCGATGACACATAACAACAACAACAACAACAACATACTGTATCATATAAATAATTACTGTTATCATCATTTCTGTATATTTTAAGAACTACCTGATGGCAGTGGGTTATGAATATCATAGTTAATACAGATAGAGTGATAGTAAAAGATACCCAAAATCAATCTATAGTTTAGGGCATTCAATGATTAGTATTTCTCAGTACTGTGATTTTATGAAACTGATGCCTAATACACGCTTATGGATTTGGTCTGTTGTGTTTTGCCAGTGTCTAAATAATTTGACTTTTGAGGCTGACATTTGAAAGTACAAGGCCAACCTGGTATGGAGAAGAGAATAAACCCCATGAGGAACAGATTTTGTTATATTTGTAAATTCGTAAAAATGGTGCCTTATGAGAAGGTTTTGTTTGTTTACAGAATTTATCTTAAATTAGGAGATACTAGCATGCAGTAAGGAGCTCTGGTAGCATAGTGGCTAAAGCACTTGACTGCTAACCAGAAGGCTGGCGGTTCAAACCCACTAGCCACTCCTCGGAAGGAAGGTTGGGCAATCCTACTTCCGTAGTGATACTGCCTCGGAAACCCAAGGAGGGGTCGCTATGAGTCGGGGCCGACTCGATGGCACATAACAACAACAACAGCATTCAGTAAATGAAAATAAATGTACTTAAAATTACCTTTATTAGTAATCTAAAGATTGGGAGCTGTATGGATACTGGTGTACAATAACATGGTAGCTTCATCAGTTTGTAATTTAAAATTTAAACTACCTATCTTCCTCCTTGGTAGAAACTAACCACCATCCATTTTTGTGGTGAGAAGTGATAAATTAAAACTATTATAATAGATGTCCTTTAATTTCCTCTAATTTTTCTTTAGGTCGAGATTTAATTTGTATACAGTCCATGGATGGGATGCTTATGGTGTTTGAGCAGGAAAGCTATGCTTTTGGGAGATTTCTCCCTGGGTCCCTTCTGCCTGGCCCTCTCGCTTACAGTTCTCGTACAGATTCCTTCATTACTGTCTCTTCCTGCCGACAAGTGGAAAGTTACAAGTAAGTTTGGATGTCAAGTCTTTGGAATCATTATGATTTTTTTTTGGGGGGGGGGTATGTGTATTTTTTTTTTTATTATTATGTTTTTCCTCCATAGGATTTTATAAAAATCCATTTTATTGAAATATAGTTTATGTACAGTGAAATACACGAAGCTAAAGTGACATGGGTCAATGTATATATATTTTTTTTTTTTGCAGTGTTCTTTCCCCTTCCCTCCCACCTCTGGTAACCAACAAAGAAAGTTTCCTTCCATATATAAACCTTTCCTTGACCTTTTGCAATAATGAACTAAATCATTATGATTTTTGAAGTGTTGATTCAACAAGAGTCTTGGTGGCATAGTGGTTCAAGTGCTTGGCTGCTATCCAAGAGGCCAGTGGTTTGAACTTACCAGCTCTTCCATGGAAGAAAGATGTGGCAGTCTCTTTCTTTAAAGATTTACAGCTTTTGATACCCTATGGGGCAGTTCTACTCTGTCTTATAAGGTCACTGTGAGTCAGAATTGACTCGATGACAGTGGTTTGGGGTTTTTTCTTCAGTTGTTGATTTATTCTTTTCCACAGAGAGCTAGAATATTACAAATAAAAAAGGGACTGCTTTCTTTGAGAATAAAATTTTGTATCATTGATGTACGAAAACATATTTGAAAGTCAATATAATGTAGTGATTTGAGAGAGCAGGGATTTGGGGTAGATACAGACCTGGTTTAGAATCTTGTTTTTGCTTCTAACAGCTGTTTGATGGTCAGTGTCTTCATCCTTCCTATAAAACCAGCAGACTGATTGTTTTGTCATTGAGGCGATTATTCCAAGGCACCTCTAAATGGATTTCAATCACTAACCTTTCAGATAATAGCCATGTGCTAACTATTTGCACAACTCAGATACTCCTCTGGCTATAAAGGTGGATAATAAGGTTGTTTTGACAAATCTGTTACCTGGATTAAATGAGATTATACACGTCAAGTTGCTAGACCATAGGAAATACTCAATAATTACTGGGACTGTTCCCTGATATCATAAATAATGAAACACAGTGTTTAGTGAGAAAAACCAGATACAAAAAGAAATACAAGTGTTGTTATGAATGATAATTATTTTCCAAAAAGATAATTCATAATAAAGTGTGAAAATGATCCTTTGAAAACAGCCCCCCCCCAAAAGTCTTATTATTCTTGCTGAATTGTGTTTGAGGGCGATCTCTTTCTTTTCTACCAGCTAAATTTTAATACATTTAAGGTTTTGAGTTTTGAAGGGTGTGTTTTTTGATAGAAGAGAGAACGAGGCAAAGAAAATAAAAATCAATGCTGGGAAAACAAATAGACTTGGAAGATTTCAATATATTCAATAACGTTGTTATCTTACTGATGGCAACATTTCAAACTTCAAACATTTAAGCAACACATCATTACAGCTTTTCAGTATTATTTTTGGCCACATGATTTCTCCCAAGGCAGGAAGAAAATATAAATTCATCGGCAGCAGCTGTAAATTTTTATCTTCACTTTTCAGATATATAGCAAGTTAATGCAGTTTTTTCCTTGTAAGTGGCAATCTACATTTTGTGTGAATTATTGTCAAGGCATCTAGGGTTCAAAACTCTGAAAATAAGCAACTGTTTATGACTAAGCAGATGGTAACTGATGGTAGTAGTGTATCATCATATCATATTCCTTCTCTGTTATGCTTTTGTCGTCCAAAGGAGATAAATGAGTTGTGACATTGCTACTGGTAATATATAAAATATTATTTTTATTTTGAAAGGTTGGGGAAAATATCTGTATAAAATACTCATGTCTGCGAGAGCTTCAGCAATATTGAGGAGATCTGCTTTTCAGCTTTCCACACAGTTCTGTGCCTTAACTTTCTGCCAAGTAGTGATATTGGCAGTGCTACCCAAGCTTGGGGTCACAATACAAAGATTTGAATGCTCCATTACTTACTCTTTAAAATATGTGCATTGGAATTAATTTGGTAATAACTCCAGCAGTGATTGGATGAGGAAGCAATACGGAGGTTTCCTTAATGTGTGAGTAGAATCTTAACAGAAGCTCGTACTGTTTTAGCTATGGTCAATTCTTCAGCATACCTATATATTAAATTCATCTCTGTCTAGGACTAAAAAACGCACACTTTATCCATCATGTGGATCTTTTCATATGGTAAAAATGCATCAGATATGTGATTATTATGAAATGACTATCAAGAGGGTTTATAACTTTAAATAGCATGTTGTACTTACATATGCTTTCAAGTTTAATAGATTACATTTAATGATAATCAAATGGTACAATTTAGCATAGGAGAAAACATGAAAAATGTCGTTTTGTTCTTTTGAGGCTTCATTAAATCTAACTATAATCAGTTAATGGAACAAGCTTATAAGACGTGAAACATTTTCATTTTTTATATTAATATTTCATTACTTTAAAACCAGTTCAATTATACTCAAATAGGAACTAGCTAAGGCTGTGGATGCCAAGTTTTAGCATGCATGAGAATCACTTGGGCAGCCTGTTATAAAATGTGCATTTGCAGATCTCCAGCAGATTTTTTTTTTTTTTTTTTAATTGCGATTTGAGTGAAAGTTTACACTCCAGTAGATTTTGATTTAATAGATTTGGGGATAAGACCCAGAAATTGTCTTTGTAAACACATTCTCCAAGTGATCCTAATTAAGGGTCACATGCTTGAGTTTTATTTTTCTTTTGAAGTGAGAGAATTGTTTTCTCTTTTGTTGGGGCAGGGGAGGTAGGCTTTGGTCCCACCACTCTCTTGGGCATGTGTGCCCAAAATTTGGATCATCTTTTATTCTCTTTTTCTTCTTTTGCCTGCCAGAGTTATTAGTCAGTAAATCCTGCCGCCTACCTTTAATTTTCTTATTCAGTCTTTGCTTCTCCTACCTGTTGTTTTGGGTCTTTATCTTTTCACTTGGATTTCTGGGTTTCTTGCTCTAATCTACATGTCAAAGAATCCTTCTTATATACATCCTTGTAAAACACTTCTTTAAGCCGGAATAAATATTGTTGCCCATTAAAAAAATGTAGAACTTCTGATTTTGATGTTGAGTGCCTTTTATAATCATGTTCCATTTTACCTCTATGATGTGGTCTTTCAGATTTGGAGGGCACTTTTGAAGTTAACTGACTCAGTTACCACCTTTCTTCACTTCTAGATATATGCCATGAGTCAATATGGCAACCAACAACAACAATGTTCCAGAGTATGTCTTTTAATATACAAAGAGCAGAATCTTTGTCTTAAACATCTCTTCACTCACTTGGTAATTTAGTTAATTTATTCAAAGATTCATTTAGTTATTCAGCAAACATTTTTCAAGAGGCTTCTCTGTGCCACTGTGCAAGGTATTGGAAATGCAAAGTCAAATAAGTCCTGTTGTCTCTTGTTCTCCAGCAGTCATCAAGCAAGTGTGAGCAGCTCTCAGTCTATTGTGAGACAGGCTGCAACAGAGTTTTGTGTGGGATACGGAGGGGGCCTAGAGGCAGGATCTTGAAATTAGGCTTGAATTAGTCGGGTCCGACACGGCACATAACAACAACAACAACAGCTTGAAGAAGTAGGAGCTCTGGTGGTGCAGTGACTAAGGCATTTGGCTGCTAACCAAAAGGTTTTAGGTTCAAATTCACCAGCTGCTCTGTGGGAGAAAGATGAGGCTGTTTGCTTCCGTAAAGATTTATAGCCTTGGAAACACTATGGGAATCATTGTAATTTGGAATCGACTTGATAGCAGTAGATTTGGTTTTGGTTTCAGTTTCCTGAAGAAATAGATTGGCTACAAGTTTTATTTTCTCTCCTTTCTGTTACACACCTCCTCTGCACCCCTGCAGTAGCCCCTAATACATTGCTAAGCAAATGATAGTCTTTACATAAGTATTTAAAATATATTTGTTGACTTTAATTGACAAAAGGACTGTGTTCTTTACAAGTTTTATGTTCCTGCCAAATTGAAACATTTAGTGTTTTCCATATGTTAAGGGCTTCTCTTTCTCTTCTTTTTTCTGTACTACATGTCTAAAATGCTGTTGCCTCCTTCTCTGCATATGAACATTTTGTCTGAAGCCACTGTGTTCCCCATCAATTCTTTCCTGATATCTAGTTGTGATGTTTCCTACTTCTTAATTCACAAGTAGGTTTTCCATTCTTCCCCTAGTACTATTGATACTTTCACTGATGTTGAATATTTGCTTGTTTACTACTTCTTTCCTTCACTAGGCTAATTTGCTCCACGAGGGTAAGAATTTTGTATCCCTGAAAGTGCCTAACATTGTAGGAGTAGCCCAATAGTAAGGAATTGTTGAAGGAGTGAAAAATTTGTAAGGAAAACTTAATTTTGTTGCTGGCATTCTTTACTACAAATGACTGTCCTGTGTGTAAGCAAGAATGGTTTAGCTATAGTTGAAATGGACATGGTAATGCTTTGTGTCCAGACTTGAGTTTCTGGTAAACTACCCCAGGTTAAATATCAAGGTTCCAAAATATCCTGGTACCTCATTGAGGTGACAACTATGTTTCATGTGAAAATAAATGACTTTAGAGGGTTTACCTTTGTGCTCTGTGGCACCTCAATCCATATTTTAGTCATTTGGTGCTATTTTTACAATGTGATATGAAAGAGCACTAAATTATATTGTAGGGTTTGTCATTGGTGCTGCACAGGACCTGTGGTTTTAAACGTTTGTGGCTCTTGGGTTAAAAAGCACCACTGTTCACCCAGACTTGCTGTATTTGTGATTAGTGCATTTCTATTCTGAGAAACACCTATGACATGCTTTCATAAATTCTTATTACATTGAACTTGATTATTCTTTCAGCAATCTCAACAAGGGAATTTTATTCTTTAGTTTTATTGAACACCACCTAAGGGGTTAACAAAAAAAAAGATCTAAGTGGTTTTTTTTATTTTAGAATTTCCAAGTTGGCTTGAAATTATTTGGTTTTGCATATAGATATTCATATACATTATTGGTCACAGTTAAG